TGTTTTTCCTTAGATACAATAATTTGTTATTGACGTTAAAATGTGTGACTGGACTTAAGGAAGTATAAATCTTTGTTAATTTAGCTTAAAATTACTGTTCCATCAATTTGGTGCGCCATAAAAAATTTTGATTTACTTACTTTTAGTTAAAGAAGTCTTGCATATTAAGGGAGCTAGTTTAAATCTTTTATAATCTTGTTTTCTCTTTTAGTTTATTGCATATTTTATGCCATAGAGGGAAAAAAGAATTTTTAAATGAAGTAATTTGTCTAAAACATTCATTATTATTTTTACTCATTATAATTCTTGATACTTTTATTGTGTTGTTTCAATGTCTACAATAATTAAAAACTTTTTATCTGTAGTTAATTATTCTGAAAAGTTAAATAAAAATTAACTTCCTTTTTGATAACTGGATAAAACATTAAAATTACTATGACTTTTAGTTTAATAATATCAAAATTTTCTGGAAGGAGTTGAGGATTTTTTAAAGGATTTTAAATTAAAAAAAGTAAAATATAGTCTAAAAAATTCACGTCAACTTAAAAACGACTTATACAATGTAATCACGCAATTAATAAGAGAACAGGATATACACTCAAGAGCCAAAACATTATGACCACCTGTCACCTTTCACTTACTTTTGTGTGTGTTCCCATCCCACAGAGAAGTAAGAATGATTCTCTCCAGCAGCAGTTAAATACCACTTCCACCTGATCACGTGCCTTCCACGTCATCCAGGCAAGTTCATTGCAAAATGTAGGGGTGGTCATAATGTTTTTGCACTTGAGTGTATTTTTAAATGATGTGTTTACCTTTTAACTTTGCAGTGATATTTTTGTTAATTATGTATTTTTATTAAGGAATGTCCTGCTATCGTATTTCTAGAAATAATGTTAAGAAAATCTATCCTTATAACTAATTAATGTTTTACTGAATGTAAGTAATTTTAGTCGAATATCTTTTATTTTGTTAAATTGATTTTTGATTCATATTAAGCATATTATTCATATTATTCATACTATGCAAAATTTACCTATTCTTATACCATCAATTTATCCTTGATGATATAAAATTTATTTGAACAATATGTTTAACTTTTCAAAAACAATTCATATAATAATAGAGTATGAAGCAGATATACTAATTGCAGATAAACGCTTCATGAAAGGAAGCGGACTGATGGCCAATTGGCTAGCGCTTTGGCCTTTGGTGCTCCAGCTTTGAATATTCGCGGTGGTATGGATATTTGTTAGTGGTTCGGAATTCACTTTGAACTGTAGGATCTGGTCTGTTTAGCTCTCGTGCGCACAAAGTGACTGTAGAGCGACAAACCAAAAAAAAAAAAATGAAAAAAATTAAAAGGAAATGAAAGTAACAAAAAAAAATCAAAACTTTGAATAAAAATCATTTCATTTCCATTTTGAATAAATCAGAATAGTTCCCTGTTTGAATAAATAGAAAATAACTTAATCATAAAACCAGAAATGATTATGAATTAATTCATTTTAAAATCTAATGTAAAAATATATAGCATATATAAAATATTTGATATACATTTAATAGATGTAATTAATATATATGCAAACATATGCAATGATGTAGCTTAAACAAAATATCTGCAGTTTAGAAATTTAACAAAAAGTACTATGACATACTTGACACAAAAATACTTATATGGGAAATAAATAAAATCGTGACTAAGGTGACAAATTTCGTATCAACTATGCTACCTTAATTAAAAAGTCAAAGAAACTTTTTCCAAGAAATCCTAATCATTATATTAACATACATTATAGTAACTAACACATACAGTTAAATTTACATCTATCGTACTACAACAGCAATTGTGCAAGGAGCTTATTCTAATAAAAATATGTGATACAATTAAATACAGATTATAAAGAGCTAGATATAAATTTATGTTTGTTGTTGTTTCTTATCCCACTTGGCTGGCCAAGCCCACGAGCCCATAGGGACTTATGATTGAAGGGTAAGGAAGCAGCTTCTGTTGTGATGGAGCACCGTAGGTAGAAGACTGACTTTAGCTCCGTGACACTCTTACAGCCATAGAAGACCGGGACCTACGGCTTAAAGGGGATCCCGAACCACTAGAAACGTTCATTGCACCGCCGGATTCGAACCCGAAACCTGCGGCAACGAGCGCCAGAGTGCTAGCCACTCGGCCATTCAGGTCCCAAATTTATGAATGCCAACGGCACGTGGTGTTTCCCAGGTGGTCACCCACCCAAGTACTGACCGCGCCCCAATGATGCTTGACTTCGGTGATCTAACGAGAACCGGTATATTCAGCACGGTATGGCCGTTGGTTTTAATTAATGGCTTTATTTAATTAATGGCAATTAAGTGTACTTTAGTATATGAAATAAGTAGCATATTTACCTATGAAAAACATTGTTACAAAAATAAGATATTGTATTAAAAAAATCCTAAATATTTTAATTTAAAATTTGTAATATATTTAATTGTATTTTGTCTTTAAACAGCGACAAACTCAAATAAGTAGTGAATGGAAACTGTGAAGCGGTGCAATGTCTTTTAAAATGCAATTAAATAATTATAAGATCGGAAGTGGCGATTCTTATCCAGATTTTTTTCCCTTTTCTCTTGCAAGCGCATAGCATCTCATCGTTTCGTAAAAGTAATTGGTGATTTAATCAACTATTTCAGTACTTACTCGTGCAAGCTTCTATAAGACACCAATCATATGTGTATAAAGCAAGTCTGTTTAATATTGTCATTTTTTGCTACAGATAGCTACAATATCACCATAATACAAAGTCCGACAAATGTCAGAAAATTATGCAAATTTCCTTGATGTAGGATACAGAAGAAGAAAAGAATAACATTTAATTAGCGTAAGAAGGAAAATTTTTTATGTACATAAAATAAAAGCAAAACATACAAAACCATATTTTTATTTTAACTTAAATATAATTATATCAAGTTGCCTGCAACCAATCAGACAGTCCTCTCTTCTTTCCTTTCTCAATAAATCCCACACACTTTATGGGCTTTATATAACAATGCCCGACGACACAACCAATCATATGCTTTCAGAATATGACGTCAGACTCGGATATAAACAAAAGGTTAGAAAAATTTGCATGAATTTGAACTTGCCAACAAATATGAGGTAGCTTTCTTCAAACAAAAATAGAACAAAGCTGCAAATGTTCATCAATAATTTTTTATTGTCATTTAAGGAAGTTCAAAAGGAAAGAAAATTTTGATAACGATACAGTTGTCAGTGCCGTCCAGAAGATTCAAAATTGCAAATGGATTGTTTGATAATCCCTTTCTTTTTGCAATCATGCCTTACCACCCATGATTTTTAAGTTTTCCTCCTTTTAAAGACATAAAGTATGTTAGAAACAAGATTTGCTTTCTAACCACTTACTGGAGCCGATGGTAAAATAAAAGAATCATCTTTGCAAGGAATGTTGAACGTTATGATGGGAGAAATTTTTGCACATAAGCATATGTGCAAGCATATTTTGCTATACGAAAAGTATTTGCAAGTGAATGGGGACTACATAAAATTATTATTAATCTATGTAAGTATATGGAACCATTTATGATTTTATAACAGTTACAATCTAGTGACACTTATATTTAAATACGCATCGCCATTAGTTATTCATCAAAAATTAATCGTTTGACGATTATTTTAGTAAACAAAAAATGAAATATATCTCCAGCAGTATTACACTAATTTCGTTAGAATTGTTGACCTAAAGGCAACCTTAATCAAGTTTCAGTTACAACAAACTTAATCACTTCTGTATTCAACAGCAATGTTTAATAAATTAAATGAAAAATTATGACACTAACAACTAATAAATGCTACTGAGAGTATTCTTTTTCCTAAAAAAAGAATCATTTTTGCATGATTTTAGAACTTTATACAGTGGCATTTTTGCACGTGCTTTCAAAGAAAACATATATTCTCTTATTGCAGTATATTCTTTCTTAGAAAGCATATCAGAAGAGAAGTATTTGCAAGTATGGAATCATCGAGTGATAAATAAAAGCATTATCATTAATTGAATGTTGACCTAAAGGCATTTGCAATGTTTAATAAATTAAATGAAAAATTATGAATGGTGACTTTTTCCTACATTTTTGCATGATTTTAGAACTTTATACAGTGGCATTTTTTGCACGTGTTTCAAAGAAAATATATTCTCTTATTGAATATTCTTTCTTAAAAAGCATATCATGCGATAAGAGAAGTATCAATGTATGTAAATATATGGAATCGTTACAATCGAGTGAGACTTTTTTTTAAATAAGTATTATCATTAATTGTTTAATGTTGACCTAAAGGCAACCACCTTTTAATCAAGTTTCAGTTACAACAAACTTAATCACTTCTGTATACAACAGCAAATGTTTGATATATGCTATGAAATTTTATGACACTAACAACTACTAAATGCTACTGAGAGTATTCCTTTTCCTCAAAATAATCATCTTTGAAGATTGTTGAACTTGATGGCAATGGAAATTTCTGCACAACGTTTAAGAAAGCATATCATGCGAAAAGAGAAATATTTGCAAATGAACGATGAATATTAAATATAGTCATGACAGAACAATTATGACCATGGTAGAACAATTATCAATGTAAGGAAATATATGGAATCGTTAAATATTTTTATAATGGTTACAAATCAAGTGACATTTTTTTTTTTTAAATAAGCATTACCATTAGTTCATCTAAATTTCATAGTTTACCGATTCTTTTTTTAGTAGACAGCTGATGTTGGTTACATTGTTGACCTAAAAGGCAACCTTTATTCAAGTTTACAGTTTCAACAAACTTAATCGCTTCTGTATTCAACAGCAATGTTTGATATATGCTATGAAATTTTATGACACTATCAACTAATAAATGCTACTGAGAGCATTCCTTTTCCTCCACTACAATAGAGGTCCCCCTAGCATGTCGATGCGAATCGTTAGCGTAAACTACTGGGCATCCATACATTTTCCGGAAAGGGAGGAAATGCCCTATCAGCGGCCGGTGCTCTGAAGGGTCCCCGGACGGTCTGGCGATGAGTCGGGATAATATCATTACTGCGGATATTTCTTCGCTCTGTTAGTGTCCGTAACAGCGGAACTATCCACTGATGACAAGCTCCCTCGAGATAGGGGGTAGGAGCAAGGCCAGATCACGGGATATTATCCGTCGGAGAAGATAACATTGTTTCCGAGACAGGAGATGGGGAGAAGAATGAGCAATGGGAAAGTCCAAGAAAAACTGGATGCCTATTATGTAACTAACGATGGAGGAAACCGTCGATGTCTTTTAATTAATTGATTTGAGTTGAGATGCGAGGGAGATCTCAAGTGAGTGGGCGGGGAGAGACTAGTTTCTTGGAATTGGTAGCTTAAGATGATATCATATCCTGCTTGTTATAAAGTGATATACTAATATTTGATGACACTCAATAATAAATATTTTCAAGACATTAATTATTGAGGTTTAGCAGTTGTTTACGTACTTCTGTCACTTTATAAATCATATGGATATTAAATTATTACCATGCCACTAAATGCAATGTATGGATATGATAACGTAACACTAACAGTTTCTTATAAAAATTATGTTAAATACTAGAAATAATATCAAAAGTGTTTTGTATTTAATTTTTAAAAAAGAGTAAAACTTTAATGCAAGAAAAATAACTAATAAGGTGGATAGCATTGTAGCACATGGTCATCGAGAAATTACATTTGTCCATTTCACCATCTGGCGATAATAACTCAAAATACACACGGAAAAATATATCAATAAGCCAATAAACATGAAGAGCACTGAATGTGATGTAGGTATATACAATTTATGTGTAAGCAGTTAACCATGTCTATCTGTCGGAAAGAATGTTATATATATACGTACATACTATATGTATATATATTCTTAAAGCAATAATTTGACCTCTAGTTACTTTTTTTGATAAAGTCCCTCGTGTAGAATTACGTTGATCAATGTCCATGATAACTGCTAAAAAAAAATCAAAATGTTTTAGTTTTTATTTCAATATCATTGATAAAGATCTGAAATTTAGCAGCTTTTGAATTGGTAGAGTTCAGTTTTTGAACTAAATCCTTCAGTCCTTCGACAGATGTACATAGGGAAACAAATTATTTCATGATAAATAGGTAATTTTAAATAAAATTATTATCTTAGATGGTATTTTGAATTGGTTGACCGAGTTCTTTGATGGGTACGATATTTACGTCTTTAATTGCTCTGCATTAATTGAATTTGGGATCAACTTGCCTATAGTTTTTAGCTGAAACTCTGTTGTCATTTATCGATTAATTCCAACTTTTTTTAGAATTTTCGACATTTTCTATAGGATGTGACGTTATCTATGCCGTTATAATAATGCTGATGTGTTTTGCAATTTTATTTTTTTGATTGCGCACTCTTTATGGGAGTGTAATTTACCATATTTAATTCATCCGGGTCCGAAATTACAATTATTAGCAATGTGGTAAAAATAATTGCAAGAAAAAAATGGCAAAGCAAATGGTTTCTGTTGAATCTTTTCATTTTAACTGTCGCGGCAGTACCGATTCTAAAGATTTCTATTTTTTTTTTTTTTTTTCATTAGTGCGTTTGTCGTATTAGGCAGAGGTAGTCTATTTCTTCCGTTAGTGAGAGCTGCGTTTTAAATTTTGTAGCCATGTCAATGACGATGATGTTGAAGATTATTGGAGCCCATTAGCCACGTCAGGAGCCTCATCTCCGGTGGTAACAAACATAAAAGAATGAAAACATTGGCAATGCCCGGAGATTAAAGGAAATCGTGAGAATTGAAAAAGTCCAACGCTTCAAAATAGAATTTAAGTAGGTTAGTGCAGAATATTCCTAGGTCTTTTAAAATTAGAATGATTCATATTGTTCAATCTCTTGAATGGCCAGATGTTGGTGGTTGTCAATATTATTGAAGAATATTTCTGAAAGTTTTTCCAGTACCTTTTGAGAGGTAGCTGGGAGATAGTTCTTTGAATATCAGCGTTTTCTCATGAAGCAATTGGCATTCGTTATTTGTCTAATGGTCCCATGTCAATAAATAGAAAAAAAATATGTATCTTAAAATGGAAAAAAAATTCCTTATCCAAATAATCCCTAATCTAAATGTCTTTTGATTCGTGTAATGGTATATTTCTACATAAACTGAACATTTGACTAATAGTTTGTTTTGGCGATGTGTCAATTTTTACTACTATAGAATGTAAATTAAAAGTGAAGATGTAAAAATGTCCATGTTGGAAAAATAAAGGATCT